AGGTGATGGGGAGGAAGGCAGCAAATCACACTGCCACGTGTGTTCCTATGCAACAATTTTGCATGTTCTTCACATGTACCCCAAAACCTAAAATGCAATAAAATAAATAAATGGGAAAAAATATATATATATATACATAATATATATAATATATATTATATATAATATTATATATAATATATATTATATATATATCCCAGCATATATATAATATTATATATAATATATTATATTATATATATAATATATAATATTATATATAATATATAATATATATAATATATATATAATATATAATATTATATATATGCTGGGATACTACTTAGCCATAAAAAGGAATTAATTAATGGCATTTGCAGTGACCTGAATGAGATTGGAGACTATTATTCTAAGTGAAGTAACTCAGGAATGAAAAACCAAACATCATATTTTCTCACTCATAAGTGGGAGCTAAGCTATGAGGATGCAAAGGCATAAGAATGACACAATGGAATTGGGGACTTGGGGGATTAGTGGAAGGGGCGCAAGGGATAAAATACCACAAATAGGGTGCAGTGTATACTGCTCAGGTGATGGATGCACCAAAATCTCACAAATCACCACTAAAGAACTTACTCATGTAACCAAACACCACCGGTTCCCCAATAACCTATGGAAATTTTTTAAAAAATTATAAATCCGCAAAAAGCAAGCAAACTGGTTATGAGCATGGAAACCTAAGATAATTAACATTAAATTAAAATATGTTGAAACAATAAGAGAATTAGGCAAGAAGCAATGTTAGGGGATAAAAAACAAAAGCTTTTCTGTAATGTCTAACACCTACAGAGTCTAACACCTGCAGCAGCAGGTCGGACCCCGCCTTAGAACCCTCACGCCCGGGGGCGCCGGGACAGGGCTCACAGGTCAGTGGATAAGAGAGCTGTAAAGAGAAAAGGTGGAGGTTCCAAGTTGAAAATCCATAAAATTATAAAGTAAATTTAAAGTTATACCATTTCTTTCCCCCCACCCAGGGTTAATTCACTTTATTTTTCTTGTATAAAAACACTAATACTACAGTAGTGATTCCTTTTTTAAAAAATCAATTTTTCTACAAAATTCTTTTTTTTTTCACAGTTTACAAAAGCAATGGTACTTCTTTTTCAATATTTGCAATTCCCAATCCACATTCAACTTTCCAATTGCTTCTGAAAGTCTTATGAAAAAAAATGCGGGTTCAACTGGGAACCAATGGTGGGCTACTCTTTATAGTTGTCAGTAGCATTCGAGTTAACCTTTAACTTCTTCGTGCTCTTAGAGAGCCTGAACAGCAGACTCTTTAAAAGCTTTATCCTTGCGAGTTCCGAATCGCCGAAACGCGGAGTCACGTCGAAAGTGACCACACTGGCTTAAGGGAAATGTAGTCCTGAATGAGTTTGTTAGCCGCGCAGCACTCTGGGATGGGGCTATTGGGCCCCTTCTGCGCCTGTGCAGCCGGAGTCCCGCCTCCTCATTTGGGTTCCCGGGACTACCGGGAAGCGGTTTGGGAAGCTCAGGCGTCGGCTCGGAAATTATAGGGGGCGCAGCTGGGGCGGGAGCGTGGGACCAGCCTGGAGGGCAGCGTTTGTGCCCGGGAGCGGGAGGGGAATCGGGAAGTTTGTGGGATCCCTGCCCCCAGCGCCAGTGGATGCGACCCGGTGGGCCCTCGGCCGGGAAGGCCGGTGGAGGGGGACTCCGGCCGCGGGCTCCGGGGTGGCTGGGGCTGAGCGCAGGTCTGGAGCAGGTGCGCGGTGTTGGCCGCGGTGTGCGGGGCGGGAGCCTGGCGCGAGCGGTGGCGGGAGGGGAAAGCGCGTTTGTAACGTGGGCGGCAGTGTGCCCGAAATCCCCGGACCGTGGGTCTGCATCGGGACGTTGAGCTCGGGAGCTGGAAAAACCCGGGTAAGTGCCAGCTCTGTCAACTGGAAGCCGAGGCCAATGCAGGAACCTGGGTGAAAGTCAGGTTTCTCGTCTGAAAGTGAGGGTATTAATAATGAGTGCTTCATGGCGTTGGTTTAAAACTTAAATAAGTCACCGCCTGTAAAGCAAACAGCCGACTGTAGGCTATTAAGCCATGAGCGACTGCTGCTGTTACATTTAGAAAACACTTTCTTCTGTTCACTGGGTGCCTTATGTAAACCTCACAACCACGTCTGCATTAAATATACCGTAACAACCGAGGCTTAGGTCACAAGCTAGCAGTAAGGGAGCCGGGGTTCGAGGGCAGGTGTGACTTATTTCCCGTTTCAGGCGCTAATTCACACCTGCCTGAAACCAGCGTTGCAGCCTGCACTGCACTTAGCAGAGTGGCATGTCCCCAAATACTCAGGGAGTGGATGTAGATGGAATCTTACCATGTGTCAAAGGTGTTCCGAATTTCTGGCGTGTCTTCACATCTCTTGGATCAGACAAGGTTCCTGGCCCTTCTGCACTGTCGGGGTGTCTCTTTAAAGTCTGATATAATGAATTCTGAGAGTCAGGTTTTTGCCACTGAAATGGTTTCTCAAGTCAGGTCGCCGGTTCCTTGAACAAATAGTCCTTGCTAAGTGGGAAGCAGGGGCCTCTGTGAACAGTTTTACCTGGAGGAGAACGCCTCTCAGACCTAGACCCCTCTCCCGAGCTTCAGAGCAGCGGCAGAAGAGCCCACAAAGGAGCAGATCCTAGATTTGTATGGTCAGAGCAGTTCTTGATCCTTCTTCCCAGAATGAGCTACACTTTGTGGTGGAGCGTCCAGAAGCCACCACAGACTGCGTGACAGTGGGTGGTTTGGGCCAGCTTTGAGAAGAGCAAAGTGAGCTGGGTGGGGGCTAGGGACAGGCTGCTCAGGAAAGGCCACATCATTGCAGAGCTTGTGAGGGGAGGTCTGGGGTTAGGGGTAACTGGAGATTGTGTTTCCAGATCCCAAAATAGCCCCCAGTCCCTTTGTTCTCTGCTCTTTACGCATGCAGACTGCTGTTAACACATGTGACACTGGAGACTTTGTCCCTACCTCATAGAATCCCAGCATGATGATACATAAAGGGTTTTCTGTGGTTATCTGCTTCTGACTCTTTTGAAAGCTTTAAAGACATTGGGCATGAAAGGTTCGGTGAATTTCCAGGGACCCCTCGTTTGTGGCAGAGCCAGGAGGGTAACAGTTTCGTTCATTCTTCCACAGGTGAGTCACCAAAAGCACCTTATCCAAAGGGCCTTTTGAGAAATACATCCCAGTTAAAACAACTAAAACTGTTTGTCTTAAAGCATCTCATCTCTTTTTGACAAGACTTTCTGTGGATTGTCTATACCAAGGGTAAACAGTAAGAAAAATAGTTAAATGATGCACAACGAATATTTTTCTGCTTATTTTGTGTTTTGGAGACCAAGTGTTATCCTATTGTCCAAGCAAGAGTGCAGTGGCACAAACACGGCTCACTGCAGCCTCTGCCTCCTGGGCTCAATTGATCCTCCTGCCTCTGCTTCCCATGTGGCTGGAACCACAGGCGCATGCCGCCACACCTGGCTAACTTTTTTTTTTAAGTTTCTATTTTCTGTAGCGACAGGGTCAATACTGTGTTGCCCAGATTGGTCTTGAACTCCTGAGCTCAAGCCATCCTCCTCCTCTGGCCTCCCGAAGTGCTGGGGTTACGGGTGTGAACCATGGTGCCTGCTAAGTTAATTTTAATGAAAGAATAATGTCTTATCCTGTGGTGTACTTTAATTCAACTAATGCTCTCTTGTCTTTATTTCTTTGTGTGCATTAGAAGCACATGTGCATTATTGTTAATTGGGAAAAGTTCATGTTCACACAATAAAAAATAGCAGTTTAAGCCCCATGATTATTTCAGAGTTGTCATAGAGACAGTGCCACCCCTAAGTGGTGCTTCCCATGCCTTTTCAAGGCCTGAAGGGCCCTGTCACCTTCGGCATCTTGCTCCCCAACTGGATTGCTTAGATTTGGGGAGGTGAATCTAGGAGCTGTGATGTAGGCCAGACCGTGTGACTTCCTCTTTCTGTCCCTGCAGCTGAGGCTTCACAGTTCTCTACACTCTCCAAGAGTCACAGAAAATGAACACATTTCAGGTGAACACATTTCTTTATTCGTTCCCCATTTCTGTCGTAATGGATTTGTGAGGTTTAGATGGGTCCTTGCATTAAATGGAAAAGGAGAAATAGATCAAGTAGATCTTGGGGGAAAATATATACAGTTTTACTATGAACTCTGTTGTTTGCTGTCAGCTTTTGATAAATAACCTTTGTCAGGGTTAGTAGGTTCCCTCCAGTTACCAGTTTGCCAAGATTTCATGTTAGTCATGAATGCACATTGAATTACATTAAATACTTTCTGTATATCTGTTAGAATAAATCTATAGCTGTGTCCTATAATCTATAAATATTGTGAATAATGTAATGGATTTTGTAAAAGTAACTTGAATTCCTGTATAGACTGTAGTTTCTTATGAGTGTTGCTTCTTACATGTTTTCCCAGCACTTTTTTGGTAATAATTTAGGATTTTTATTTCTGTATTCACAAACTGGATTAAACTATACTTTCCTGTTTCCCTGTTCAATTATGGTATCATGGTTGTCTCATGAAAGGAAATGGGGCACTTTTTTCTTGTTTCTTCCTAATAATTTAGAAAAGTGAGAAAATTGTGTTGTATGTAGATTTTGTGAAACTCACCTATGAATTTGGACCTTGCAAAGACGTTTTGTGTGAAGATTTTGATTATTGAATAAATTTATTAGTTCGTTAATCAGCTTCTTATCGTAAGTGTATACTGGATTTGTACTTTCTCAATATAATTTTTGTCATTACATTTTCATAGAAAATTGTAATCATTTACTTTTTTTATTTTCTTTTTTTAGATTTAGTAAATGTTTATTGTTGGTTAATCATTATCAAACAAGATTTTTCTTTCTCAATATATGTTAAGTTATAAATGTACAGAGACAAGGTATAAACCAAAAGAAAAAATGAGATATTAAGATATTTTAAAAACCACCTTGCATACACAAATTATAAGATTTATTATAATTTTCATACACCTTTGCCGTCCTAGTGCTAATATACTTTAACACTGAAGATGCAACTTGCCTACTTACTTAGCACTTTACTTAGATATATTTATTAAGATGTAAAAGTTCGTAATGTATGTTTACTAAAACTAGAAAGACTCAATTTTAACATAAAATGTATTTGAAATTTTCAGCTAAGAATCTGAACATTTTACTTTACATTTTATTTCATATATTTTACTATCCCAGGGTCTAAGTCAAGACAGGCCTTAACTAAAATGAAACAGCAAGACTAAATAATCCTAGTAAAAGCTGTCTTTCCTTTATACTTAAAAACATTTCTTTAACATGTTTTGTTTCAACAGCTTTTGAGGTACAAGTGGTTTCTTGTTACACGGATGAATTATATAGTGGTGAATTCTGATAATTTAGTGCACCTATGGCCCAGCAAATAATGTACATTTTACATAGTAGGTAGTTTTTTATCCCTAGCACCTTTCCCTAGCCTCCCACCCTCCCCTTTCTTGGTCTCTAAAGTCCATTATGTCACTCTGTATGCCTTTGCATACTCATATCTTGGCTCCCACTTATAAGTGAGAATATACAGTTTGGTTTTCTACTCCTGTGTTACTTAGAATAACAGCTTCCAGCTCAATCCAAGTTGCTGCAAAAGACATTATTTCGTTCCTTTTTATGGCTGAGTAGTATTCCGTGGTGTATAGGTACCACATTTTCTTTATTCACTCAGTTGATGGGCACTTAGGTTGGTTCCACATCTTTGCAATTGTGAACTGTGTTGCTACAAACATGTGTGCTGGTTTGTTTTTCATTTATAATGAGTTCTTTTCCTTTGGGTAGATACCAGTAGTGGGATTGCTCAATCAAATGGTAGATCTACTTTTAGTTCCTTAAGGAATCTCCATACTATTTCCATAGAGGTTGTCCTAATTTACATTATTACCAGCATTGTGTAAGCATTCCCTTTCTTCACATCCATGCAAACATCTATTGTGTTTTGATTTTTTCATATAGGCCATTCTTGGAGGAATAAAGTGGTATCTCATTGTGGTTTTAATTTGCATTTCCCTGATTATTAGTGATGCTAGGCATTTTTTTCATATGTTTGTTGGACATTTGTATATCTTCTTTTGAGAAATGTCAATTCATGTCCTTTGCCCACTTTTTGATGGGATTTTTTTTCCAGCTGATTTGAGTTCCTTGTAAATTCTGGATACTTTGTCTGATGCCTAGTTTGTAAATATTTTCTCCCATTCTGTGGGTTGGCTGTTTACTCTGACGATTATTTATTTTGCTGTGTAGAAGCTTTTTAGTTTAATTAGGTCCAGTTAATTTATTTTTGTTTTTCTTGCATTTGCTTTTGGGGTCTTAGTCATGAATTCTTGCCTAGGCTGAAGTGTAGAAGAGTTTTTCAAATGTTGTCTTTTAGAATTTCTATGGTTTCAAGTCACAGACTTAAGTCTTTGATCCATCTTGAGTTGATATTTCTATTAAGTAAGAGATAGGGATCTGGTTTCATTCTTCTACGTGTGGCTTTCCACTTTTACCAGCACCACTTATTAAATAGGTCAGAGGTCCTCAATCCATGAGGCCACTGACTGGTACCGGTCTGTGGTCTGCTAGGAAATGAACAGCACAGCAGGAGGTGAGCAGCAGGCTAGCAAGCATTACCACCTGAGCTCTGCCTTCTGTCAGATCAGTGGCATCAGATTCTCATAGGAGAGGGAACCCTATTGTGAACTGCACATGCAAGGGATCTAGGTTGTGTGCTACTTAAGAGAATCTAATGCCTGAATCTAACTAATGATCTGAAGTCAATCAGTTTAATCTTGAAACCATGTACATACCACCCCTCCTCCAGCTGCTGGTCCATGGAAAAGTTGTCTTCCAGGAAACCAGTTCCTGGTGCCAAAAAAGTTTGGGATTGCAGAAATAGGGTGTCCATTCCCCTGTTTATGTTTTTGTGTGCTTTGTCAAAGGTCAGTTGACTCTACATATTTGGCTTTATTTCTGGGTTCTCTATTCTGTTCCATTGGTCTATGTGCCTGCCTTTATACCAGTACCGTACTGTTTTGGAAATTATAGCCAGCCTTGTACTATAATTTGAAGTCTTGTGATGCCTTCAGATTTGTTCTTTTTGCTCAGGATTGCTTTGGCTATTTTGGCTCTTTTTTGTTCTGTTTGAATTTTACGATATTTTTTTCTAATTCTGTAAAAGATGTTGGTATTTTGATGAGAATTGCATTGAATTTGTAGATTGCTTTGGGTAGAATGGTTATTTTCACAATATTGATTCATCCAATCTATGAGCATAGGTTGTGTTGCATTTGTTTGTGTCATCTGTGATTTCTTTCATCACTGTTTTGTAGTTCTTGTAGAGGTCTTTCACCTCCTTGGTTAAGTATATTCTTACGTTTTTTTGTTTGGTTGGTTTGTTTTTGTGGCTGTTGTAAAATAAATTGAGCTCTTGATTTGATTCTCAGCTTGGTTGTTGTTGATATAGCATTATTACTGATGTCTTTACATTGATTTTGTATCTTGAGACTACTGAATTCATTTGTCAAATCTAGGAGTCTTTTGGAGGAGTCTTGGATTTTCTATGATGATATCGTCTGCAAACGGTAGTAGTTTGACTTTTTCCTTTCCAATTTGGTTGCCCTACTCCTGCTTGCTTTTGGTTTCCATTTACATGGAATATTTTTTTCTACCTCTTACCTTGAGTTTATGTGAATGCTTTCATATTAGGTGAGTCTGTTGAAGAGAGCAGATACTTTTTTTAAAAATCTATTCTGCAGCTACTCAGGAGACTGAGGCAGGAGAATTGCCTGAACCCAGGAGGCGGAGGTTGCAGTGAGCCAAGATCGGGCCATTTTACTCCAGCCTGGGTAACAAGAGCGAAACTCTGTCTNAAAAAAAAAAAAAATCTATTCTGCTATTCTCTATCTTTTAAGTGAAGCATTTAGGCCATTTATATTCAATGTTAATATTGAGATGTGAGGTACTCTTCTCTTCATCATGTTGTTACCTAGTTTGTCTTTTTTCCATTGAGTTATTGATTTACAGGTCCTGTGAGTTTTAAGCTTTCAAGAGTTCTATTTTTAAGAACCTTTGTTTTAAGGTTTAGAGCTCTTAGCATTTCTTATAGTGCTGGTTTGGTAGCAACAAATTTCCTCAGCATTTGTTTGTCTGAAAATGACTTTATTTCCCCTTATTTTATGAAACTTAGTTTTGCTTGATACAGAATTCTTGGCTGACAGTTACTCTGTTTAAGAAGGTAGAAGATGGGACCCCCCCCAATCTCTCTGGTTTGTAGGGTTTCTGCTGAGAAGTCTGCTGTTAGTCTAATAAGTTTGCCTTTACAGGTTATCTGATGCTTTTATCTTAGTGCTCTTAGAATTCTTTCCTTCCTGTTGGCTTGAGACAGCCTGATGACTATATGCTTTGGTGAAGATCTTTTTGCATTGGATTTTCCAATAGTTGTTTGACATTCTTGGATTGAGATATGTAAATATCTAGCCAGGTCAGTGAAGTTTTCCTCAATTATTTCCTCAAATAAGTTTTCCAGACTTTTTGTCTTCTCCCTCAGAAACATCAATTATTCTTGTTTGGCCATTTTACATAATTTCATATTTCTTGGAGACTTCGTTCATTTTTTAAACTCTTTCATCTGAGCTTTTAAATCTTTTTTGTGTTATGTATCATGCCACATTTCTGTGTACAGCTGCATGAGATAATAACAGATTTTGATTCCTGTAAAGATTCACTTCCCATTATTTATCTCTTATGCTTTGCTTTAATATAGATCATCTCTTAATTTTGGTCTTTTGTTTTGCTGCTAAGTCCACTCTCCATATAGCACAATTGTTCCTAACTGAGGGTGATTTTGTCCCCCAGAAGACATTTGACAATGTTTGGAGCTATTTTTGATTGTCACAACTGCGGATTGCTTCTGACATCTAATGGGTAAAAGACAGGGATACTGCTAAAATGCTCAGGATAGTTCTTCACAAAAAAACATTATCTAGTCCACTGTATAAGTAGTACTA